GCGGCGAGAGGCCGCCCAAAGGGAGGCTGGGGCACACACACCCACACACACACACACCGATGCCGCCATCTCCGCCCACCTCTGTGGCAACTGCCGCCCGCGCCGCTAATTGCCGCCACGCGCAGTAGGATCGGTGGGCTGACCCAATCGCTTCTGCAGCCGCCACTAGGCTCACACTTCGCATCCACAGTCGCGACCACTGCAATCGTCATCCTACTCGCTCGCAACTACTTGCTCGCTCATGGTTTGGCCGCAGCCACAGCCTCCGTCGTCACACCACGGCTACCGCCACCGGCGCCACGACCACCTGCGTCCTCTCTCTCCTCTAGCTCCTTCTTTCCCTGTCTCCCCCCTCTCTCTTTTGCTTTCTTTCTTTCTTTCTTTCTCTCTCTCTCACAGTTTTTTATCGGTATATATGTACATATATGTTGTGTATATGTGTATATTAGGTGTGTCTCTCTCTCTCTCTCTCCTATTTTGATATATTTCGCTTTACATTGCTCCTCTCTCTCTGCCTCGTTGCACCTCGCACCCTTCTGATCCATCCGAATCTCACATGATCCACAACTTATCCGCACGTCGCCTTCTTCTATGATGTTATCATCCTCGGTCGCCCATGCCCTATTCTTGCTAACAAATCATCCTCCCCGCCTGCGCGGTCAGGCCAAGCCACGAGCCCGGCTGCACGGTGGCCTCGGGTGCGCAGCGTAGACGCGAGGCCATAACAATGACGAGTCCCATCCCTCTGATTTCGCTGCCTGGCACGTGCCCCTCGCGCGGCTCGGAGCGAGCGGTAGCTGAATATGCTGGCAGTGCACCCCCCCGTTGCGCCCCACGACGTCTCCAGCCTCCTCATCCGCCTCTTCCTCCAACTCTTCCTCCTCCTATTCCTCTTCCTCCCACTCCGAGTCCTACTCCACCTTCTCCTCCTACTCGCTCGTGCTCTTCTTCCAGCTCGTCCTTCCTCACTTACCTCCTCCTCCTCCTCCTCCTCCTCCTACTCTTGCTCCTCTTGCTCCTCCTGCGGCTCCTGCGGCTCTCCCGCTCTTCGTACTCCTCGTGCTACCCTCCTCCTCCTTCCCCCCGAGACTCTGCAGTCTTGCCCCCTCTCCCCTTCACAGCCCTTACTGGATCACAGTGAGCGCCTGCATGCACCGTGACATCGACAGAGTGGTGGAGGCGGCCTGCTCCATCGGTAATGTTGGCTCGGCGACGCCTGGGCGGACTTCCTTGATAACTGATGCGGAGCGGCCTCCCGCATCGTGGCCGAGGCGGTCAGCGAGGACATGCCTATCACGTTGGCTGAACATCAGACTGTGCTGGCCTACGTGTCGTGGGACGGTGCACCAAGTGATTGTGTACCAGAAATACGGCAGAGATTCCCGTTCACCGAAGCGGGGGGCCCTGAGCTTGCACTACCAGTCCTGCGCCAACGGGCGGATGATCATGAACTGTGGGGGTGCAAGCGCCTGGGACTGTACCCATGTCGGGCATGTGGGACCACAGCCCGTACGGAGGCGTCTCTAATTTGGACGCCCGAAATGGGCACGGAAAGAATGGGTACAATGCCCAACAACAAATGTTGTCCCAAACCAACAGCGGCCGCTGTTGGGCAGGCGGCCTTCTGTCTCGAATGGACACAGGCCGCGGCGGCGTGGACAGCGAGTCCTGTTCAAAATGGACAGGGACTCCTGTTGGGCATTGTGCCCATTCTTTCCGTACCCGTTTCGGGCGTCCAGATCTAAGATATCTCGTGGTCGGTGGAGGGCGCAGGTGTCCCCCGAGTGCTGCCGCGCGCGCCCCGAACTCGGAGCTCTTCGGGTTCGTCTGCTGACCTGCGGGGGCCCCTGCGTCATCCACCCGTGGCCTCTGCTCCAGCTGCTGCTGGGGCCTCCCGAGAGCCTTCTGTCAGGCCTGTCCCCCTACAGGGGGATTTTCGACGAAAAATAGAAAATACCCCAAACATACTCCAAAAAGGCTCCCAAATACTCAGAAAATGATCCCCAGACTTTTTTTTTTTTTTTTTTTTTTTTTTTTTTTTTTTTTTTTTTTTTGTGGCTTTTAAAAAGTAATAAACAAAACTCGTCGAAAATCCCCCTGTAGGGGGACAGGCCCGACTTAACGAGAGCCCCAAGGGGTGGAGACGCTCCCTGGGGCCCCCCTCTCGCGGAGCCCGTGGCCGTCGGGGAGCAGCCCCTGCAAGTGCGGGTGCTGATGCCTCCATCTCGAAATTCGGAGCCAATGGGTATGCGTGGGCGATTTCTTAGAGGGACTTTGCGTGTCTAACGCAAGAAGTTTGAGGCAATAAGAAGTCTGCGGTGCCCTTAGAAAAATGTTCTGGGCGGCACGCGCGCGCTACACTGATGCGTTCAACGACTGTATGACCTTGCCTGGAAAGGCTTGGTAATTGGGGCATGATATTTTTTGTGTGAATTCGGTTTGCTGCTGCCACCGCTGTGCTGGCCACTGTAGCTCGAGTCCCGTTCGTTCCGCGATGGAGCTCCGTCCGGTGTGCGGAGGGCTCAGAGGATCCGGGCACTTCTCAGAGCCAGCTCACAGCCATAGACAAATGGGATCAGCCGCGGGCTTCTACCCTGTCAGAGGGGCAGGCACGGCCGGACCTGGGATAACAAAACGTCCTGCAAGAACGGGAGACCCTCCGCCGGCCAAAGCACACACACACACACGGAACATCCGAGGGTACAGCACCCTCCCTGGATACCAAACAACAGGCATGAAAAACACCAGGGTGCCCTCCCCGACCCGACCTCTGCCTACTCCAGATTTCGTAAAAAAGGGAGGGGGGTCTCATTTCGGGGGGGGGTCTTTTCCAGGCTATCTTGGAGGGCCTGGGGGGTCTGGGGACGATGTTTTGGAGGGTTCTCCCACGGGGGAGGTCTGAAATGGTTTGTCTTGGAGGGTCCAGACCCCCTCCCTTTTATTGCGAAATCTGGAGTACCTCTGCCCGACCTCGTGCCTCGGCCAGACCGCAGCCCTGGGGCTCGCCCCGGAGCTCACGCCTCCCTGGCGGGCCTTGCGAGGCCCGGGCTCTGCGGGCGCGGTGGCTCTCCGGAGGCCCGCCCCCTCCTGGCTGGAGTTTCTGGCCGCTTCGGCCCCTCGGGTTTAAATCGGGCGTGTCCCCCTACAGGGGGATTTTCGACGAAAAACAAAAAGTACTCAAACAAATACTCCAAACTATTCCAAAATGATACAACAAATGCAAGCAAAAATCGTCCCCTGACTATTTTTGTGACTCTTTTCGAATTTGCCCCCTGTAGAGGGACATGCCCGACTTAACCTCGGGTTCTCCCTGTCTCGTCACGCCTTTCCACCTCTCTCCTCCCTCCCTCCCTAAATTGTAGGCGCCGGCGGTAGCCTCCTCGATGTACTTCGGATAGCTGTCGTCAATCCCAGTGAACACTGGTGATTATCGTGATGATCCACCTTTCTGCCCAGCGCAGCGCCAACAGTCACGATACTGTATCAATCTCGTGTGTGAGCCCCTGGTGGGCTCTTATAACGTGGTGCTCTGGAAGCACCGATGTACAAACGTACGCGCCGGTAGCTATGCACCGGCCCAAGGGCGCCCTGAACCAAACAGCGATGGAATCGGCTCGTTCGCTCTTTCGGGCTCCCGGGTCTCGATCGGTCGGCCAAGACTCGCACAGATTTACACAGGGGGAAAAAGCTTTTGGCCTCGACCGAGAGAACATTCATTAAGTGAAACTGTCGCGTAGCGACTGAAATATGAAACTACATTAGACAGAACACAAACGTGCTGAAACAAATCTCGCGGTAGCGAGCGATATGAATAATGAAACGAGCAAGCTGGCCTCAATCACCTGATATGATCTCATCTTCCTGTGTCACCTTCTCATCAAAAATGTCAAAACCACGCAAGCCTCGCTTCCGTGCCGACTCGAACTCCGGGTCATGAACCAGGGTCCAGAAACCTCTGCGCAAGAAAACATCAAGCAATTTCTGAGCCTCGTACTTGATCTTGGCGCATCTATCTGCGACATGAGCATGAGAATGAACCCATCGAAGTTCTGCGCCGCACTCGTAGATACCCTGCTTGAACGCCATGCACTCAATGGCCGAGCGCTTATCACTGAGTCCTAGTGCCGAGCTCTCCGAACCTGTAACCGCGTCGTAGAGACTCTTGCAGTCTGTTACGAAGACACTATCAGGAACGTCGCGTATGAACCGGTAGCGCTCGTCGCCCTTGAGGTAGACCCTCGCGTTCAGCATCTCCATCCAGGCAAGCTGCGTGTACTCCAGCTCCTCTGCAGCCTCGCTGGCCGCCTGAATTTCTGCACCGAGAGACGATCTGCACTTCCTTGTCAGCTTCTTGGAAGCTCCAGTGAACACCGTGAACTTCTCCTTGTTGCCGCTGAGCGCCGTCTTCTCTGTCGTGCAGATCACGTGGCCTCCTTGACTACTGCCGTCAGCCCTTGAACACCAAGAAGCATCAAACCAACAAACCCAAGCCATGTTCTTCAACGGATGCACTGTCACACCAGTCCCTGCAAACTCATGGGTGGTCTTCACAAGTTGATTGACCCTACCGAGGTCCTTCACAGTCGCACTGTTGACGATAGACTGCAGCATCGATACATGAACTGCGATCTGCGGCATTGTCTGCGTAGAAAGCCACTGCGATTGTCCCAAGATGGCCCTGCATCTCCTCGCTCGTCAGCTTGGATTATGGATCCGACTTCCTGTTGCGCTTCACGTTGATCGGCTGAATCGTCTTGGCATACTTCTCCTGACTTAGACGAAAACCACCATCTTCGTTTCGAGAAACGTCAACACCACCAACTGAATATCCCTCATCGTCGGATTTCCACATGCCCCGTCTGTATAGCGTCTTGAGATACTCGTATTCGGGCCTGAACTCCTCGTTGTAGATGTCACCTGTGATCTGGAATTCATCCACATGAACCAAGATGAGCCCGATCACCGTGTTGTCCGAGTTGACCTTCGTGAAGAGGCACGGCTCCAACTTACACGCGTACCAACCTCTTCTCTCGAGATCCTTCTTGACCTTCTCGTGCCATCTCCTGGGCGCGTTGGTGAGTCCGTAGCAAGCCTTGAGAATCTGCACAACGTCGTCCTCGTTCAGGTTGAGGGCCTCTCGAAGTTGTGGTACTGGTAGTGCGTAGAGCCCCCGCTCCTCCTCAGTCGCTTCTCCTTGTAGAAAAGCTGACGAAGCATCTGCAAGCCACGTCTTCCAGCCATTGTTGGCCGCCATCTGGTACAGCATCATCCTTGATCTCCTCGATGGTGTCGGTGACTCTGTCTTCAGAGTCTCGAGGTCCTTGGCGGTGTAGCCGATGAGTACCAGTCTGGCCTTAGCCTTCTTGCCGCCGTCAGCCTCTGGATCCTCCTTCCATGTTAGAACCCATCGCATCTTCATTAAGTCGACGTCCCGCAGCTTGCTCCTGAGAGCTCCACGGCACGCTTGAGCGAGTAGAAACTGGTCCACCTCCTTCTTCATGGCGACGTCGAACTTCGCCTTGTCCTTGTCGTCCAGCTTCTTGTAGTTCACCTCAATGCGCTGCCTCCTCGCCTGCGTGGCAACATACAGGCGCGGGTCCTTCACGAAGCGGTTGAAGGCTTCCTTGGAGGGCACTGCGATGGAGACGTAGACAGCGTCCTGTCTCTCAGTCGTAACGTCCTGCTCCTCGCTA